ACAACATGGTGGGGTTGACTGTGGTGTTTTTATTATGAATTTTGCTGAGTTTTGGGAAGGCAAACTGGTGCCAGCTATGAGGAAGTGGCGAAAACAAGTCAAGCAGAGGCGGGATGAGATCACATTAACATTACTGCTGAACGAGAAGAACTGTTTACTTGAACAGGTGAAGAAGAAGAGTTTGGAGTTTGATCGCAAGGAGGACTAGCTGATTTTAGGATGCATTCGCAAGAACAGTTTCAGATTTCAGTGTGTTAATATGTGTTTTAGTGTGTTAATGGTGTTGATTAAGGCTTTTGTGTTTTGTATCTGAAGTGTTGTGGGTTGATTAAGAAGAATTGTGGTCTTCTTCGTGTATGGTGTGTATTATAAGACAAGTGGATTGTTTAACGGGTATTGTAGTGTGGTTCATAAGGTTTATAGTTTGTTTCTTTTTCCCGGGGTTATACAATGTATGGTGTGTTAGTGCATGTGTGGTTTGCTTAATGAGTGTTCTGGAAAGTTTCCATATGTTTGTGGTTTGGTTTTGTTAAGTAGGTTTCGTAGTTTGTTTTCTTCATGTATGGTGTGTATTATAAGACAAGTGGATTGTTTAACGGGTATTGTAGTGTGGTTCATAAGGTTTATAGTTTGTTTCTTTTCCCTAGGGTTATACAATGTATGGTGTGTGTTAGTACATATGTAGTTTGTTTTGCTGCATCGGTGTTATTGTTTGTTCAAATATTATCAAAACCTGGAACTGTTCATATTTGTCTCATAGTTGTCATTCAAATCTAAAAGTTTATGACAGATAAAAAAGCATGGATAACAACTAGGAGACTAATCACTCATTGTTGCTTTTGTAACACTTGTTGGCAGCCTGTTCATCAATTCTTTGCTTTCTAGCCCTCTCCGGCGCTATCTGAAGTCCACCTCTTGGCCTCTTCTTTGATTTCCATGGGTCTTGTCGAGCCTTGAATCCGTTCACATTGGCATACTTGTCATTCGTAGCTGAAGCAGCATCGCTTAGTGAGGGTGATGTACTGGTGGTTCCAACTGTTGAAAAAGCAACATGCAAGATACTGGTGAACATAAGTAGGGATTAAGAAATTAGTGGATTGGATTAAGATGTTATTGGCTTGGATTAGATCATTAGTGGCTTGGATTAAGCAATTACTGGTGAACATAAGTAGGGATGCTAACAAGATGTGTGAAATTACCAGGTACTGTTTGTTGAGTTCCTTGAGTCTGAAGGCCTTGGAAAGCTAGTTTAGTGAGCTCTGCAATCTTTTCCTTAACCATTGAGAAGACATTGTCATGCATTGAGACTTTTGTTGCTAGGATAACCATGCTAGCACACAGTTCTTGATACCTCCCTGCATAAGTGTCTGTTGCAACACATTCTGTTGTGTTTATTGTGAACTTCTCTCCAGATTCAGCATCTCTCGTCCATCGTGGCAGAATGTATTCCTTAGGGATAGTCAATTGCTCAATACCATCACCATTGAATCCAACCATCTCTATCTGCCTGATTACATGTCTGCACAACCAGCCTGAACTTTCAAACAAACGACATGAGTACTTGTATTTCTTCTCCTCTTTGTTCACTAACACGACTCTTTTGCCGAATCCTCCCAGTTTCTTCACTTCATAAACTGTCTCTGTCCATACATTCATTCTGGAACACAAAAAAAGCAAGGCTTTCTAAATACTCCTCAAGGAAAGAACTGTAGATCTTAGTTGTGTATAATTTTGCGACTTGCTTAACAAGTGGGCTTCTGTCATACATGTTGGAAGATGACATACAACATACAATTATTCATAAGTATCTTGTCTACATTAATGACTTTATGGTATGTATTGTACTGTTTGTGGTGTTTATGGGTTGTATTAGGTGGTCTGTGGTGTGGATTTGTAGGGTTTCTGGGTTGGTTTAGGTGGTGTCTAGTTTGTATTCAACTGTTCCGGTACGGTTTTATATCAATTGTGGGGTGTTTGCTGCTTTTTTTTTGTTTGGACAAGGAGACTTGTGGATGCATTCTACAGTATAAAAAGTTCAAATAAAGGAAGTAATACGTACATGTTGTTTGGGACTATGTTTTCCATTTGATAATCCATGTCCATTTCGTCTGATCTTTTCCGTTCGAGCAACTTGTTGGAGTATGTGAAGAACTCAACTAGGTTGTCATCTGCTTGAAGGTAGTTTTGGAGATTTCGATTAAAAGACTCACTCAGCTGTGAGCTTCGCATACCAGCTGTGAAGTGGTCCTTAACCCATGCTGAAGACCACTGTTTCCTCACCTTGTAAATTGAATCCAACCAGTTTCTTGGATTGGTGCCTTCTTCTGGATAATATGTGTCTAGCAACCTTGACCAATTGTACTCAAATTCTTCGTCATTTTCTACTCCAAAAGTGACATATTTCAGATCTTCTAGAATGTTTGTGTTTGTGGTGTCGAGATGTTTCATTGCATTCTGCTTGATATGAAAAGTACACAAGCCATGGAATGCTTCAGGAATGACGGATCTAATCCCAGCGGCGATTGCAGCAGCTTGGTCAGTGAATATTGATGTTGGTCGGGTGCCTGACATACATTTCAAGAATGCATCGAACAACCACTTGAATCTAGCGGTTGTTTCATCATATAGGAGAGCAGCCCCGAAGATGCAGAGTGCGCGATGGTGGTTGAAGCCAACAAACAAAGCTGTAATTTAAAAATAAAAAAAGAACAACATAGAATTAAATATTGAAACAAACACAGACTGTCATTTTGTGATATATATATATAGTGTGTTTCAGGACGTGTTTAGTGTGGTTTAGGAGGTTTCTGATTAGGATTCTGAAAAAGAATTTTCATGTTTTTTTTTTTTGTCATTTGTTTTAAGAGTTTTTGGTGTGGTTTTATGTTACTTATGGTATGCATTGCGTAATGTTTTGTATGCATTCAACTTTGAAAAAAAGAACAACATAAAATTAAGTATTGAAACAAATACAGACTGTCTTTTATGATATACATGGCTTGTTTCATGACGTGTTTAGTGTGGTTTAGGAGGTTTCTAGTTAGTATTCTGAAAAAGAATGTTTCATGTTTTTTTTGTCGTTTGTATTAAGAGTTTTTGGGGTGGTTTTATGTTACTTATGGTATGCATTGCGTAATGTTTGGTATGCATTCAACTTCGAAATCTCAAGAAAATTAACTAGTGCAAGGAATACTGACCTAGTGGACGATAATTCTGGTTTTCCTGTATGTGGTGTCGAAACTGATCGTATCTCCAAAGCAACTGTAGTCGAACCACATTCTTGCATCAACCCAGAATATACTTGGAATATCTTCGTTACTATCTACCTCAATTTCATAGAAGAATGATGGATTCTTGTAAGCTTCCCGACGAAAATGTTGAAGAAGTATAGTTGCTTCGCCTGGTTTCATTGATTTCTACCTCGTCCCTGCGATATTGTTCTTCAGATCATGCGGGGTAAAAGGTACATTCACCCTCCCCCCGCCCCCCTGAAGTTGTGGTGAACAACTCATATGATTGCCGTAGTGAAACTCCACAATCTGCATGCACTTGTGCGACCGTTGCATGCATGAATTTTGGAGGGAGGAGATCATGGTTGTGTTCTGTTATCCACTTATCCAGCAGCCATTCATCCTTCTTGATATCATATCTGAATTTGATTATAGCTGGGCAGCCAACTCTAGTTTCTGGTACAACACGTTGATAAGTCTTGACATCGATTGATCCTTTATTCTTGGGATTTGACTTGCTTTTCGTCTTGTATCCTTCTTTGCTGCACCAATACCTAGCATATCGTGTTGTTTTGGTTGGCTGGCTTTTTGTAGAACGTTTGATAGTTCCCATGTACCTCACGCTGAAGCCAAGATCGTGAGCATAGTTCTTGTAGAATTGTTTTGTTCCCCCAATGGTTTTGAATGCCAACCCCAAACTAGTGTAGTCTGACTCGGATCTGATTGATGTCACACCTGTAAGCAATGATGAAAGAAATGAGCACTTGATCATTTCATTTTGCGATGATATTTGCTAGAAAAGTGAAAAGTGGTTTACATTGTAGTTATTCATGATGTTTTTATGACATTTATGGTTTGCATTACAGTGTATGATTTTTTTTACAAACAGATTGCGGTAGCTGCTGCGATAAGCTTCTCGTGTCGTCGCCGCTGCGGTAGCTGCTGCGATCAGGATCTCGTCACCGACGTTGCGGTGGTGTTTTCGTTCAGCTTCGGCGCCGCGCTATTGGAGAGAGAAACGAGCTGCAATGTTTTGGACAAAAGGAGCTGCAATTGTTCGGTAGGACAAAAATACTCTTCCTTTGTTTTTTACCCTAGTCAACGCATGGAATTGAAAAGTATGCACAATTGTGGGTTCCTATTGGTCCACCTATGTTGTTGTCACAATAACAACAAATATGGTGTTGTCACCATATCCGCTGGTACTTACACCCACAAGCCCAACAACCATCTCACTGGATGCCCTCTGCTCGAGATCGATTGAAAGCAAATGTTGATGCGGTGATCTTCAAAGACGAGGGAACATGACTGGGTGTCGTCTTTCGCGACTACATAGGGAAATTTTGTCTTGCTGCTGTGAAGAGAACTCGGCGACAGTGGGCAGAAGATTGCTGAGGCGATGGGAGTGCTCTTTGCTCTGGAGATGGCTGCTCGGTTTCGCTTCTCCGCCTTAGATGTTGAATCAGACTCTCTTGCTGATACAGAAGGTGCTGCAGGAAATGCGTTCTACCTTGGAAGTGGATGAGGTTTTCGAAGAGATCCAGGCGGAGGCGGATCGGCTTGGTCGGGTTCAGTTTAGTTATACGAGTTGGATTTTTAAAGAACCGGCCATGTTTTAGCCCATACATTCTGTAATTGAAAAATGGAGGAAGTGTGGGCCGACCATCCCCTTTCTTCCTAGCCCCTTGCTTTGTAAGGACTCCGAGTCCATTCACACTTCTTAATTAATACAAAGCAGACTGGTTTTCTAAAAGAATAAATCCATCTAAACTACCACTAAAATTTTCATTATACGCTCTCACAAGTCACAACCACGCTACAACATGCCCACCAAACACCCTTTTCCACATAACACTGTAATTCAAACTTTCAATCCAATATACAATATTGTATTGTACGTACCAAGGACGGCCCCAATCCCACACTACGAGAAAGCTTTCTACTTCCTCGGGCCTGCTATGGCATCAGGCTATACAGTTTCTTCTTCCGAGTCCAGTGTTTATAAACACGCTAAAAAGTAAAAACAGAACAATCACAACCAACAAGATACCAAGCCAAAAATGAAAACGCCCAGTCGAATTACGGTCTTAGCAGGCCTAATGGCATTGTCCTGGAATCTCAACATCTGGATTCCTCGTAAACCCTGCCCCTTCTTCCCAACCACAGCTTATGCTCCACAAGATGTCACCAGTTGCCACCTTTGAATTTTGTTGTGGGTGTGATACGACAATTGCCTTAGAGTTGGAAACTGGGTATTTATGGGACTTGGATAAGCCACTAGCAAGCAGCCACCGAACTCCAGATTGCTGCTGGGCTTTTGTACCCCAGAGCTGCGTCCTTCCTGGGTCAGTGTTCAACCCAGAAACATGGACATCACAGATTTTGAACCCAATGGGACCCTCTTCGGCCAGATCTAAATGCAGAAACTCTCTCTGTGCTTGTATTAGAGCAAGCATCAATGCACCCACAGGTTCACAATCTCGAAGGGGATCCCTGAGCTGTATCATGAAAGCTACAGTAAGGTTGTTACCCAACACACCATACCTTACTGGCGATCCTCCTCCCAAAATATCACTAACAATGTTAATGGGCTTAGCCTGATGAGCTCTCAAAACTGCTGTTGCCTGCTGGCTAACTTCCCCTTCATTGCTCATTCCAGCATCAATCCTCAACCATTCATCCAATGTCAGAGAAAGGTCCAACAATCCAACAGCAGCGCTACTATTTTCCCTTATGTCATCAAGCACGTGTAATTCTCTACCAGACTGGGGGGGACATATGGTTTCAGGTGACATTTCATCAGACATGCCCGACTGGATCCTTAAACCCTGAATTGACAGGACCTCAATCTTATCCAATGCCAGAGGGACAAGATCCTCAAGTGATACATACTCTGATGCCATCTCAGAATCACAAACATTTGAGTACAAAGAGGGGCTATCAAACCTATGAGTTGAAGCTGCACTGCGTGTTGGAGCAAGGACTATTTGGTCTAGTGACTGCCCTGTTAAATCCTGTAAAGGCATTAGTCTCTTTGTTTGGGAGGAAAGCTTCTCGGTTCCAACGGATGCCAAATGCTGTAATATCTCCAATATATCACAACCCATTGTAGCAGGGAGGACAACCTGGGGTGATATTTGTATGTTCAAATTTCGAACATTTTTAGAATGTCCATAAATAGAACTGGTAGACCTCAAATAACCACCGTTTCTGATTCGCAATAAAGGTCCAAAACCATCACCTAGAGGCGGCAGCTCGAATGCCTTCCCACAAGCAACTTCTATTGGACTACCAAATCCACCAGAGTAATCATGTGGAGAGCTCTGGAATGCATCCTCGTTTAATCCCCATTCTCTCATTAAAGCTTCAGTCTCCATGTCCTCAAGCACTCTGACCGTGGTCCTCCTACTTGGCAACTCAATAGCCAGGGGTTGTTCCTTCCTTAAAGTCCGTATACTCAAGGGATGATCAAAATCCTGACAAATACTCCCATAACTGGATCCCGCTTCACCAACATAAGCGGATCTGCCATCATCTCTAGATAAGTTACAATCCATGATAAAGTCGCCACATGAAAGAGCGTCTTTCTCAAACTCTCTTAAGAGGCGCTCTCTTGGAGACTCAGCAATACAATCTGAATTTATCCGAAAGGATCCACCATCACTTCCCAGCATATTTAAGAAATCATTAGCCACAGACTCAGTGACTTCATCAAAACTGAGTGATCTCTTAACACTACTGTGTGTAGCACAATCTGACTTCATCTCCATATAATTTTCATGCTCGGTAAAGTAATTAAAAGATGAAGGAGACTCAACAGCATAATCTCCAGGAACTAAACAGACTGCCTCTGGATCTTCTGAGGATGATCCATATACAGATCTAGTTTTCTTTTCGTCATCCGAGGGAGCTACCAAAAGACTTCCTATATCATCTACGATCTCCTGTACATGAGACATTTTTTGTGCAGCAATGGATTCGTCATCATCCATAATGATTTCATTGATATCAACAGTTTCAATTACAGAACCATCAAGTCCAACATCAGAAGGACAAGTTCTCATGATTTCCGACTCAAACTTCTCTGGCATTTCTATCCCTTGATCTATGATGGTGAATTCAAATTCATCATCACAGCCATCTTTGCTAGAACTTCTATCAAGGTCCAAACCCACGTTAGAGTTCTCCGGCCATAGATGAGCAGCTAAAGCATCCAGATCATCTGAATTATGCAAGTTAACCTCATTAAGTTTCTGGTACAGAAACTTTATCGACTTGGAAAGCTCCAATCCTACATTTTGCGGAACTTCATCGAATTTTTTTACATCAACAGACTGAAAACATAGAGGATTCTCATGGTTCATACTATGAGGTATACTTCTAACACAATGAATCTCGTCACTCATAGAAGCTGCAAATCTCATTCTTGCTTCTGTGTTGCGTGGAAAGTAGGGAGTCAAGTGATCAAGCACAGAGGAATTCTGATTCACTTGTGATACAGAATTTCTATCTCTCTCCAGAGAAAAACCAAAACTAACATTCAAGGTTGCACCCTTGGCTTTACCCGCAAGTCCAAAGCTAGTAGTCCATTTACCACTGTTCTTCTCAGTCTCCAGTTCCTCCAAAGTACAAGGCAGCAGCTTCGTAAGATCCACCCACCGCTTTCCAAAGTCAATATCAAGAGTACCCGTTACAGAAACATAGATCACGAAAAGCTTTCCATCATATTTTGCAGAATTCTGAGGTCCAGTTCTGCTCCCATATACATAACATCTGTGCATCAAAGCCTCATCGAATTCAGCAACTCCACGCATAACCCTTGAAGGCCGGGAGCTCACAACATGATCTTTCCTCTTGCAATGCACCGACAAACTAAGGTCATTGAAACCCAGGGGTAGCCCTTCAATCGAATGAACATGGAGAAAGAAACAAACATCAAACCTCTTGTGACCAATATGTGCCAAAGATTTCAGGGACTTCTTCCAGTTCCATACCGAGTTCTTTTCATTAAAATGGTGATGCTCATCAGAGATTCTGGGTTTAGAACATGTAGCACGTGTTTTCCCTACGGATTTCGAACGAACATCAGATCGGGGTTTCTGCAGGTAAAGAGCTCTGCTTATTGCCTCTATGTCACGCAACAACTGGCCACTATGCATTTTTTCGTCCTCTTCAGCATTTGCATACTCAGTTTTTGAAAGCATCATATTTGGCATGAAGAATTAAGAGGACCACCTTCACCAATCAAAGAGACTCACTCTTGAATCCTTCAATCTCACTAATTTAGTTTCCAGGATAGCTTTACTCGCCCATCCAGATCCCAAAATAATCACAAAATGCCGGAATTCAGTAACACATCAAAGAAATCGAAGCTTAACGCGAACCCATTCAGACAAGCAGCTATGTAGTCAGTAAGAAATTAGGGCGGCGACTTCACCATGGGACAAAAAAGAGGAGAAAAGGAACTCTCAAGAGATTCACCATTTCAGTCCAGGCTATGTGAATCACAGAACTAAAGGTTTATGGATAGGATCAAATCCAGCAAACGGGTTAAGCACTTACTGAGATCCTTGGATTCCCGCTTCCACAAGTAAACTCAGTTGACCTTCCCGATTTCATTCCTCTTCCGTGCCCTTAGAGAACGAAGCAATAGAGAAAGATTGAAGAAGAAACGCGGACACCGGGTAGGATATAAAGCTCTTACAGAAGGTATTTTCCGGGGAACTCAGTAAAGTTATGCTCTGCACTTTGCTCGGAAAATTGCACGAGACTGGTCCGACGGAAATTAATATTTTGTCTTGTTTGTTGGACAGGCAAGTGGCGGAGTAGGTGGATTTTTCAATGAGGTACTTTAATCGGGTTGATATCCAGACCCAGTAATCAGGGTGTTCAAACGGATTGGTTATCGTGGTAACCATATTAATCGGTAGTATTCGGTTAATTTGGTTTGGTTAATTTGAATAATTGGTTTGGTTTGATTAAATAATTTAGCTTATTTGGTTTAGGTTGTTTGGTTTGGTTTCAACTTTGCTAACCAATGAAACCAATTAACCAAATAAATAATTAATGATAATCTGATAATCTCCACTTTCCAGTTTCCACTACCATCAAATGGGCCTATCTCAACACCAAACCAAAACCAAACGTTTGGTTTCCCTCTGTCATCAATCCCCATTTCCAATTCGCACTCCCGAGAACATTGAACCCTAGATTGAGAGGGAGAGAGAAAGAGACAATCGAATACAAATATTTCCATTCATAACTCTTCGAGAATGGTATCTGAATCAAAATCCACATGAATACATGATGCCTTCTTGATTTTATTTGAGTTGTACTTATTAATCTTATTCTTGTTTCTGGTGCTATATGTAATGATAACTAATTATGTTTATTTTGTTGATTTTTCAAGCAGGTGGGAACTAACTAACGTAGGCATGGCATTGCATATTGGCAGTAGCTCTTTTTGTACAGGTTTTTTAACAACTACTAGACGTTCTTTTGTATCACGTATAATACCATGACAGCCAGCTCATCTCAAACTATGTATAGTTTAAGTGTTTTGTAGGAAGAGATTTTAACTTCCTTATGAGGGGTATATGTATGAATTTATGTTAAGGGTTTGTTGTAAGTTAACTATATTAGGTGCGGATATGATGAATGATATATTAACTCGAATGATGAGGATAAGTTTTCATGTAATGTTATGTTATTTGGTTAATCCGATTATCCGATTAACCAAACCAATTAAACTTTGGTTTGGTTAATTTGGTTTTCGTGTTAATTTGGACGGTTTGGTTAAGACATTTTATTCCATGGTTAATGAAGTTTAGGCTTAATTGGTTTGGTTATAACCACGGTAACCATTTGAACACCCCTACCAGTAATCCAAAACTAGCTTTATACACCTCCCGGGTCCCGACAAGTATTTTTTTTCAATAAATGTATTTTGGGGATTTTTCCAGAAATAGCACTGTTTAAAAAAAAATTCCAAAAATAGCACCCAACTCCGAAAAATTCCAAAAATAGCACCCTTTCTGAAAAACCGCTCCCTACCAGTGCGGTTTAAGCGAAAACCGCCACCCAGGGGCGCGTTTTTCGATGAAAACCGCACCCCCAGGGGGCGGTTTTGCACACCGCACCCCCACCATGCGATTTGGTTGCAGATCGCACCCCCAGGGTGCGATCTGCTTTTTTTATTTTTTGAAAAATCCTAACCTAGGTGGAAACTTCAAACGGACGTATCTTTGTGTTCGGGTATCCGATCATCGCGAATTTTTTTTTGATTCCGCATAACTTTTTGAGATCTTGCAAGCCGAAGGTGGTTTGATCCTGCCTTCGTCCTAAAAAATGTCGTTTCCTACCCCGAACGAGCTTTTTTCCGATTTCGTCAAACTTTGGACAACCATAACTTTGTGCTCCAAAATCCAAACAACATGAATTTTTTATTTATTTCGCATAACTTTTTAAGGACTACAATTTTTACTAGAATGAATTTTCAAAACAGGAATTATTTTTGGATATACAGGATTTTGGGAATAGCTTACCTTCCCTTCTCAGCAATCCACGTACATTTTGAAATTGTGTCTATGATAAAAGTTGTAGTCCTTAAAAAGTTATGCGAAATAAAAAAAAATTCATGTTGTTTGGATTTTGGAGCACAAAGTTATGGTTGTCCAAAGTTTGACGAAATCGGAAAAAAGCTCGTTCGGGGTAGCAAACGACATTTTTTGGGATGAAGGCGGGACCTGACCACCTTTGGCTTGCAAGATCTCAAAAAGTTATGCGGAATCAAAAAAAATTTTGCGACGATTGGATACCCGAACACAAAGATACGTCCGTTTGAAGTTTCCACCTAAGTTAGGATTTTTCAAAAAAAAAAAAAAAAGCAGATCGCACCCTGGTGGGGGTGCGGTCTGCAAAACCGCACCCCAACTGCAAAACCGCCCCCTTGGGGTGCGGTTTTCATCGAATCGCGCCCGTGGGTGGCGGTTTTCGCCTAAACCGCACTGGTAGGGAGCGGTTTTTGGAAAAGGGTGCTATTTTTGGAATTTTTCGGTGTTGGGTGCTATTTTTGGAATTTTTTTTTAAACAGTGCTATTTCTGGAAAAATCCCGTTTGTATTTTGGGTGATCTTTATTTTTTATTTAATTTTTTTAAAGATTTTTTATGTTATCCAAACCTATTAAAATGCTATTAATTAGCCAATCTTTCGTAATGTATCAAAATATTAGCTATTTTTATATTATCGTTAATAATTTTGTAATTATTTTCTTAGTTAAAATACTAAAATTTTGGAATGTTGTTTTTCATGTGTCTCTTCCAAGTCAGTATCAAGTCAATATTACTAATATAATTTATAAATGAAAGTTAACATTTGGCTAATTCTTAGTATTTCGATAGGTTTGGCTAATAAAAAAAATCCAAAAAGATTTGGCTAAAAAATAGTCATTACCCAATGTTTAAAAGAGTAATGTCTATTTTTTATCCAAATCTTTTTCCGATTCTTTTATATTATCCAAACCTATTGAAATACTAAAAATTAGCCAAATGTTAACTTCTAGTTAGCAAGTTTGTTGGGTTAATTGCATGGTTGGTCACTGAGATTACAAAAAGCGTTCATGTTTGGTCACTCTAAATATTTAAATCCATTCCAGGTCGTGGTTGTTGATAGGATCGCTCTAGCTCCACGGATTGTAGACAACTGGTCGATGCCGCTGCGACGACTTCTGCGAAAGGGGTTGAAGATGATGAATCTGTTGACACCGCGTCATCGTCTTCTCATTGGTCGTGGTTGCTCGCGGGACTTCTTCCCAACGTAGGTGGCCAAACGTTGTTGATACCTGCCGTGGGAGCTATTGCGAGCTCGGTTCCATCAAACCAGACTCTGATACCAATTGAGGAGTGATCGTTTCATCCATCGCGTATTCGAAAATACTAAAAACTAAAGAGAACGAGATTATGGTTTTTATTCTTGATTGACGATTAAAACGTAGAGACAAAGTACATATTTTTAGGATTAATCCTACAAACCATGTCCCTCCCGAATAAGGTAAACTAATCCTAGATCAACTCCTAAATAATAACTTCCTCAACAAGAAATAATAATCTGAATAAACCACATAATACCCCAAATAAACATAATAATAATAATAATAATAACAACAATAATAATAATAATAATAATAATAATGAAGAAGAAGAAGAAGAAAATAACAAAGCTAGCACCGATGCGTGAATGCATCAACGTGGTGCCTGGATGAGGAGTAATAGTCCACCCCAAGAAGATTGAAGAGGTAGTAAATTGGTCTCCACCCAAAGAAGTACCACAGATGCGCAACTTTCTGAGATTGGCAAGTTACTATAGTCGATTTGTAGAAGGTTTCTCCATATTTGTAGAAGTTTTCTCCAAAATAGCCTCACCACTAGAAACCCGATATGTCTGGTCAGAAGAATGTCAGAAGAGTTTCGAAAAACTTAAACGAAAACTTACTTCTGCCCCTATATTGACATTGCCAATAGAAGGAGGTGAGTATGTCGTTTATAGTGATGCTTCATATCAAGGCTTGGGTTGCGTACTAATGCAAAATGGGAAAGTTATTGCCTATGCTTTGAGACAATTGATACCATATGAAGTAAACTACCCAACTCATGATATGGAATTAGCAGTTGTGGTGTTTATGTTAAAATTGTGGAGGCATGATCTTTATGGTGAGACCTTCAAAATTATGACCGACCACAAAAGTATGAAATACCTCATGAATCAAAAAGAATTGAATGGTAGACAAAGGCTATAGGTAGAGTTACTCAAAGATTACGACTGCACCATCGGTTACCATCTTGGTAAGGCAAATGTTGTTGTTGATGCTTTGAGTCGACAAGAAAGATTTCAAACACTAGTGGAGATGAGGGCCCTAGGTGTGGAGATGCAAGTTGAAGATATTACCACATTGGTTTCACATTTAAGTATTCGATCGATGCTACACGATCGAATCAAAATGGGGAAATTAGAAAACCCTGAGTGCATAAAGGCACGAGAGAATATCGAAGCAGGCAATCAAAATGGGTATGTGTTGGAATATGGCATACTCAAGATGAATAGATAAATGTGGGTACCAGGGGTGAAGGAATTAAAAAGAGACATATTGGACGAAGCACACTCCTCGATTTATGCCATGCACCTGGGGTCGACAAAATTGTATAATACCATCAAACCACACTTTTGGTGGCCAGGGATGAAACGAGAAGTTGCGGAGCATGTTAAATCGTGTCTAATATGTCAAAAGACAAAGGCTGAACACCGTGCCCGGCTGGAATCCTGCAACCACTGCCTTTACCATAATGGAAGTTTGAGAAGATCACAATGGACTTTGTGATTGGATTTCTACACACCACGAGTGGTAATTGGTAAAGATGTTTTTTTGGTAATTGTGGATCGGATGACAAAATTAAGCCACTTCATTCCAAACCATTTTAAACCAAGCATGGAGGAACTAGCGAAACTCTACATAGCCCATGTGCTGCAGTTACATGGAGTACCAATATCCACTGTGTCAAATAGGGATACTAGTTTCACCTCCCACTTCTGGAAAAGCTTGCATGAAGCAATGGGGACAAAACTTAACTTCTCCACTACATACCATCCCCAGACAAATGGTCAATCGGAAAGGACGATCTTAACTCAAGAGGAACTCTTACGAACTTACATGATGGAAGTAGAAGGAACTTGGACCGAGTTACTGCCAATGGTAGAGTTTGCTTACAATAACCATAACACAGTAGTGTTCTTGCTGCTCCTTTCCAAGCACTTTATGGCAGGAAATGTAGAATACCTCTATGCCGGGATATTTAAGTCACTCGAGTTCTTTCTGGACCGCAAATTTTTCAAGAAACTACGGATAAGGTTAAGGTGACCAAAGAGAGGCTACGAGTAGCTCAAGATCGCCAGAAACTTTATGCCGTCGGGATAGCTCGAGAGTTAAGTTATGATGTGGGAGAAAAGATGTTTCCAAAGGTATCACCATGGAAGGGATTAGTGAGATTTGGAAAGAAGGGGAAGTTGGCACCTCGTTACATCCGCCCTTATAAAATTATTGCCAAGATTGGGACGGTAGCATACAAACTGGAGTTACCTACCAAGTTGAAGAGGATTCACAATGTTTTTCATGTGAGTATGTTGAAGAAGTATGTGGATTCATTATGCAATTATACTTGGTCATAGTTTGGTGTTGTGCTTTGGCGAGTCAGTAAGTCACCCTAATCTTCTGTACTAGCCAACTTGAGCTTCTAGGCTGCGTATGGATTTTTAGGGTTAGAGGAATATGCGCCATCAAGCAAGTTGAGGTTAGATGTATGAATAGGATCCTATGGTGGTCGAGGCAATCGAACCCCTGCCATAGGAATGCCATCCAAGATAGAACCCGGTATGAAACCTTAGTGTAAATAGTGGGTAGTACCCATTGAAAGGAGCTACGAGCTTAATTCCCCATATACGATAGCCTAGATCGAGGTGACTATAAATGGGTTTAGGGGAGGCATACTCAGAGGTGTGTGGATAACCACCACATTCGATAAACCCTAAGTATCTAGACATTGCATAGTAGCCCTAAGCTAGGGTGAGGGATAGTTCCCCGAAATACCTGCTTTTATCATTATTTGATGTAACATCATGTATCTGGGTTAAATCTTACACCAAACCGGTTCGACGTCAAAATAACGAATCAATTCGACTGGATTGAAAGAATCATTCATCCTCATTAATTAATGATGTTAAAAATCTAGAGAATAAATATGACATGAAGGAAATATGACAGAGGCAAATAGACGAACTCGTGAGCTCAGACGCCGACGGATTCTGAAGTATAAAAAACTGTTCATCGCAAAGATTTGACCCATCGACCTAAACTTATACAACCATCATTATCACCAGATGGACTACTGGCGGTTGATAACAATTAGTTCCTCTCTTGTTGAATTAAAACCTATCTAACGAGATTTATTTCAGAATAAAGGGACAAAGCCCCATGTCGTAGCTATCCATTCTATTGCAATAATAGCCGCCAACATCGTATAATATACTCATGAGCTCTTGGAAAAGAAGACAACCACGTCACTCGTGTTTTATTTTTTACAAATAATTCCAATTGATCCATCGGTCCATGAGCTGGCCAAAGTTAATATCCAACAACCATATTGTCGACCGACAGAGAAGGACGCACCGGGAATGCTTCACATATTTATAGAACGAAAGCTCGTTCGACGACCGTAAAATCCCAATGGAAGGAAATAGAGAGATAAGGAGTCTTGTGTTTTGGAGGTTGCCATAAAGGTCGGGGAAAGGGTATTACGAAGCTAAAAGGGTCGTTGAAACCTTGTCAAAGCTTCGCCGGAGTTTCAACGAAATCTTGTGGCGGCAATGATTCAGGCCTAATTGTACATGTTTTCCCCCGTTTTACTCAGGTGTTTGTCACAAATTTACTCCTAAAAGGTTGGCTTTACGCTAGGTTTCTCGTGTTTTAGTTTATTTTAAGGTTTAACAGGTGAAACCAGCCTCGAAGTGAAAGTTGGACGAAAAGGATCGAAAATCGGGAGAAAAGGTGTAAAAGGGCCAGTTTACGGCTATCCCAGGAAGTTCACAGTCTTGCACGACCGTGAAGAAGAGCCCTTCACCGTGAACCGCAAGGCTTCCAAAGCCAAAACAGAGGTTACTGACGCAAGGTGAGTTTACGGTCACTAAGACCGTGAACGGAGGCTGTTGACCATGAACAAAAGTGAACGAAGTGGTGAGTTTTGGCGCACGCCTGCAGTTCACGTACACGTTTCATGGTTCACGGCTCTGAACTCAGGCCTTGAACCGAGCTCGTCTTTGGTTTAAAAGATGAGCTGAAATGAGGAGAGAGGGGAGAGCCCATTTTGTGGGAAAAGCCTTCTTCAAATTTCTAGAGAGAGAAACACGAACCAAAGGGTGAGAAGGCTAGGGTTTTGCTTCAAGGTGGATTTTGGGAAGATTTCCTCCAAGGAAAGTTCAACACAAAGGCCAAGAAGATTGGGAGCATCCTCCAAGATGGTTTCCACCTCTTCTGCTTGTGTTTTCCCCATTTCTAGCATGGAGTAGATCTCCTTTCACTTGGGTATTATGAAACCCTAACTCTACCATGTAGTTTCTTTTATGTGAATTGAATGATTGTCATTGGGTATTGGTTAATTCAATGATTGAGGTATTATTTATGATTGATTGTGCATGCTTGTGCTTAGCAACCTAAGGGTTGTGCATGTTTTGTGCTTAGCATCCTTAGGTTTGTGCATTTTGGTGCTTAGCAACCTAAGGATTGTGCATGTTGGTTCTAGCAATCTAATTATCCACCTTAACTTAGCTTAGAGAAGAAAATCCCGCTTCCAAGGGAGACTCAATCGAGTTGGTTTTCCTTCAGCTTTTTGAGCCCTCTAACTAGGTTAATTTAGGGCAACCCTCAGTGTTGAATTAAGCAAATCGGTTAATCGCGATTCAGCCGTGCGACCTTTGAGTTAAGTGAGGAAGTAAGTTAACTACCGATTGCCTAAATCGAGAGGGTCGAGTGACACGGCCTATAATGTTTACCTCAATTTAGAAATTGAGATTGTGGTCTCCGACCATATATGCATCCCTCTGCGGTTCGTGGTTACCTTGCCCACGACAATCGTTCCAATTCACATATAATGATAGTAGTTAGGGGGAAGCGACACCCGAGTGATCCTTCCACAAAAGAGTTTTCAAAACCATTTACCTTTGCCCTATTTTATTTTAATTAGCAAACTTGTAAACCAAAAATTTGCTACTAGATAATGATTAAAACAACTGAAGCAGGGGTAGATGGACCGACCCAGGTTGATATCTAAATACTTGCTCTATATTGCACCCGACTAGAGTTTAAAAACTTGGACTCTAGTCGAGATTATATTGCTGTGTAGTTTCGTGTGAGTCAAGTTTTTGGCGCCGTTGTCGGGGACAACGGTCTGTTATCTTGAAAAAGTTGTTGGTTGTTAATCTAGCTTTTAATTTCCAGTTTTGCTAGTGTGTGTGCTTTGCTTGTGCTAGACTTGGTGTGTTTTCTGATTGTGTGTAGGTGGTGCATGACCTGGAGTAACCCGACACCTTTGCTACAACTTGACGAGGACATAAACCAAACTCTCCGGCTCCTAGCACAGGAGAGAGAGCTAGCGGAGGCACAGAAAAGAAGTGAAAGAGAGGGAAAAAGTGTTTAGGTCCCATTGTTAGTGGGGAAGAAGTTGAAGAACTCAAAGTTGAACCCGTTGAGGTAGTAGTAATGGCGGGGAACCAAAGGCAAGATGGTGCTCAAGCCCGCCAGTTGAATGATGCAACGAAGGACGAGGATGCCCCGAGGACGATGGTCTACTATATGGCCCCAAGGCCAGCGGACATTCAATTGCTAATCCTACATCCTCCAGTGGCGGCAAACAATTTCGAGATCAAGCCAGCTCTAGTGACTATGATACAAAGTAATGCTCTATTCCACGGCCTTGAGAGCGAGTCACCATGAGAGCACTTGCAGAGATTCTTGGAGCTCACGGGGAGCTTGAAAATCAATGGTGTGCCGGCCGAAGCTTTGCAACTAAGGCTTTTCATCAACAACCCCTTGTAGCGCTCTCGTGCCTCAGTTAGACTCTCATCATCAGCCTACTTAAAAGTAACAATCTCTTCTTGCCTCTTCATTGCCAAGGCGGGTGGGAAGTACTTATCCAGAAAGACCTTCTCAAGCTGAGCCCATGTCGTGATGGAACGTGGTGTTAAGTTCTGAAACTGGTGTGATGCATTCCCTATCACGGAGAATGAGAACATCCGAAGACGGATTGCATCATCAGATACTGTGGGGCTTTTCATGGTATCGCATATGCTCACGAACCGGCGAAGATGATCATGAGGATCCTCACTGCTAGCCCCGGAGAAAGTATACCCGTTGGTGATCATGTTGATGAATGTTGGGTAATCTCCATGGTTGCATCCTCAGCCGGAATGATAACACATGATGCTCGGGCTCCAGTCCTTCGATTCAAGCGAGCCCTTATCGAACGATCCTGGTTTGCCATGATGACAGGCTCGATGTCACGCAGTGGTGGTGGTGGTGTCGATGGTGTAGGGATGACATGTGATGAAGCCCACCCTCTCTGTTGATGACTATGGGTTAGGGAAGGCCTAGGAGTTGTGGTTGGATGCTTCCCTAACTTGACCTGCTTCCTATTCTGTCGGCAGGTCTTCTCGATCTCCCGATCTAGTGGCAGTAAATCGCCGGTCGTCCTCTTAGGCATGCACGAGGAGGATAAACCTGAAAATTCTTCTGCACACTAACACGCAGATCAAAATAATCCACTCACAAAAATCAACAAAATAAGGTATGGCAGTCCCCGGCAACGGCGCTAAAAACTTGATAGGGCAAAAGCGTATATGCCTTAATCCTATCTTGTAGTAAACTGAAAAGTCCGGGTATCGTCTCCCAGGGACTGGTACAACCTTAAGTTTTATCAATTTATGGAGCAAACTATAAGTGAAAATGGTTTGAGAGATAAACTAATTTCTAAAATCAGAATTAAATAAACAAATTAAGTAATGAAAACTGTCGGGAGAAATTCAATGGAGAAAGCTCTTGGAGAAACACCAGGACTCACTACCTATCATATCCAAATTAATTCACATATTCCAATCAGTCTAATCCAATTCTCTACAGCCAGGATTTCACTAATGTGCTAGCTAGGAATTACTACGTACTAAACAATTAAATCAAATCCTACTGTCGTAGCTCGATGACTTAATTATTTAGCCTGAAGATCAATATCCTATTTAAGACCACATAGCATCTTATTTAATCCACTGTCGCTTTGATAAGTTACTATGTCACATGAAATATGTTCATTTATTAGGATTTCACTGTCGCTAATAACCTAATTAACAACAAATCAATGTATTGGTGGCCAGTCAACACAAAGCATTAAGAATTCCATGCAATATAGATTGGAAGAAAAGAAATACAAATCAATCCATCAAGTATAGAAATAGCTACATCCTATGGTGTTTCCCCCAGAAATTGGGGATTAGTTCATAATGAAACTAAGATAAATCGATGAAGTATTGAACACCATGTTCCAAATCAAAGAGAACGGAATACTGTATTATCGCACGGAGGCACAACTCATGTTCAGTCCGCTCGCTACAGCTCCTGTTCGCCAATCGCCGCTCTGGCCTCTGCTCCTGTTCTCCGCTCGGCGCTCTTCTCCAATTAATGCCCCAGCAATTCCGTCCCAGGCCAAGTCTCCGTCCTTTTCCCCGGTCCCAAGTAATTCCTCCCTTCTCTCCTTTCGCCAATCCCTCACCCAGTTCCTCCTCCAGGCCAACTTCTCCCCGCACTAAAGGACAACGGACTCGGGCCAAAAAAATGCCCGTCCAAGTCCAATTCCAAAAGCCTTATGCTCCAAAGAATTCTGTCCAAGTAATTATTTTTCTTTCCAAAAGCAATCTCCTAATGGCCGGTCCAATACCTCATTAAACCCGAAAGAATTATGGTCCAAGTCCTCCGATCCAATTAATATTAAGACTGAGCCCTCTCCTTTTAATTAAACTCAAACGGGTCCTTTCATCAAACTGGTCAAGAATCCGGTTTAAATAGGTTTGGTTATAGACTTGATCTGTGTGCTTGTCTGTTTCGTTGTACTTCCACAATTTCTATCTTTCCACCTAAAATATATCAACATTCTAATACATGGTGGTAATAATCATATAACCATTCCGGAGTTAGCTGGCCTTAAAACAAGCATTATATGTCTCAAACATATCATGTAATAATCACATTATGTACACAAAATCAATATATTTTCGACAATTATCAGGTAGCCACCGTGGTAAGTATAGGTGTCAAAACATAGCCTGACCCGATTAACCCGCCTGATCAACCCGACCGCAACCCAAATTGACTAAAAGTCAACAACCTGTAACCCGCCCGACCCGCAACCCGATTGACCCGCAACCCAACTAACCCGCAACCCGACTGACCCGCAACCCGATTAACCCAAACCCGATTGACCCGAACCCGACTAACCCGTAACCCGACCGACTCAACCCGAATTTCATCTAATCCACTTGAATAATTATAAAAATATACAATACATAGTTTTTCAAAATAAAGTTTTTCATTCTAAACTTAAGTAAAATTATTTTTTCGTTTCGTATAAGAAATTTTAAAAATATGAAACTCACTTGATATTACGTATTTTAAGAAAATTACAAAAATTGAAACATGAAGGTCACTTGAGATCATGACAATATTAATATAATATATAAATTAAAATTTTGGTTAATTTAACTATTCAATAAAATTATCAGTTAAATATAAATAAAATAAAGTAATGTATTTGGTAATTTGATGTTTTTAAAAGAAGAGAGAAATTTTGGTGTATTCAAGTTTTTGGGAAAAGAAAGAAGAGGGAAATTTGGTTCTTTGAATTTTTTAGAAAAGAAACAAGTGAGAATTTTGGTGGTTTTGATATGTGGGAAGAGAAAGAAGTGTGAAAGTTTGATTCTTTTGATTATGAAAGAGAAATAAGGAGGGAAACTTTTGACTTTTCAACTTTTTGTAGAAGGAAAGAAGAGGGTAATTTAGTTCTTTCAATTTCATGGAAGAGAAAGAGGAGGGAAAATTGAGTTTTTCTAATATATGGAAGGAGAAAGAATGAGGGAAATTTTAGTATTTTTGTGAAAAGAAAGATGAAACAAATATTGTGTTTTCAATTTTTTGGTTTTTCATAATTTTAGCTTTTGAAATATGAATCTTTAACTTTTATAAGGAGGGCATGACTAGTTAAAATTATTCTTATATGCTTTGAAGGCTAATATGTATATATGTATGTAATTGTTTATGGGCTAACAAATAAATTAACCATTAGTTACAACAATTTATTCTAAACTTGATAAGTAATCTTTGACGGTTCGTTGTTTAGGATATAAAGTATATGGTTAGGGTATAAGGTATAAGGTACATATGGTTTAGGATGTATATGGTTAGGGTATAAGATATTGATGGTTTTGACGGTTCTAAGTTTTTTATTAACATATGTTCACTTGAAGTCATTTGAAGTCTTTAACGCCAGGAGATCCCTTTTTAATTTATGTTTATGGTACGTGGTTAGGGTACAAGGTATGTGGTGTAAAGTATAGGATATATGGTTAGGGTATAACATTTAGCAAATATCACTTTTTTTATCTATATTTTGAAAATCAAAGTATGAATTTCACTTTTAAATTAACTATACTAGCAAAATCACAACTCAAGGACATATGGTTAGGGTATAGGTTATGTGGTTAGTGTATAATGTATTGATGGTTTAGGGTATACAATCAACAATATATATTAACTTAATATTGTTGATTGAGGGTAAGGCTAAGTGTATAGGATATATGCTATTGAGTAAGTTATGATTGAAGTCACAATAATTTTACTAAATTTGATAGCTAATCTTTAATGGTTCAGTTTTTAGGATAATTCGAACAATTTTACAAATAACTCGTTTGGCAACAGTTTACTAAAGTTATTTGGGCAATGAGTTATTTTGAAATAACTCCTTTTATCATTATGCTTTTGCAAAATACCACACGCCAAATACCAGATTTGCATGGTTATACTAAACGAGATACTTTAATCCAATTACTACTGAATTAATACGAAAATATCAAATAAACAATTAACGGTGTCTTTTGGTTGCAAATATTGATATCACCATTACTATTAGCTATAATACTTTACCAATTATGATTAATTACATAACAAGTTTGCAAGTCATACAAATTGATTTAACATTTTGACTAGTTTTTTTCAAAAAAATAAAGTATATATATACGAGGTAGAAATAAATTGGTTAAAAAGTTGAGAAAATATTTTAAATTAGTGTAATAAAATGTGTAAGTTGTTAATGAGTAATGAGTTAAGTTACTAGATGCGCTGGCCCGAACAACCCGAAACCCGACCCGCCCGCAACCCGCCCGACCCAAAACCCGATGAACCCGCAACTCGATTTGCCCGCAACCCGTTTGAACCCGAACCCGATGAACCCGCAACCCGACTAACCCGCAACCCGTTTGAACCCGAACCCGATTGAACGCAGCCCGAACCCGCCCGATTGACACCTATAGTGGTAAGTATTGTGGTTCAACTTTTTGTGTGCTTGAACCGTGAATTACTCACAACCATGCCACGATGGTTTAGCTTAAATGTTTGATAACCATGGTGGAAAAACAAGTGTAAGGGGAGATCTCTTTTCCTCCCAATGAGCATTATTTGACGATTGTTTCCACGTATGGTGTATGCTTCTCAGTTTGTGCAGGATGGTTAACATGGATCACCCATACCTTGTGGCGCTAAGGAGCAGTCCTGAAATTGAGCGAGAGGCATATTTTTGGGCATCTTTGAGAGTCGGTATCCATTGGAAACTCGACTCCGCCCAGTTCTACAGGCTTCATTGCGGTGACGTTGTGAGGGAGGCAGTGTGCACCCACAATGGCACCAAGCCCTTGATCTTGAAGATGACACTTACGGGGAGCAATGCGTCGAATATTTCAGCACCTTCACCATATGCAAGAGCCTATGCCTACTCGGTCATCCATTACGTCGGGTCGAGTTCCGATTGGGAGGGGAACCTCTCAATTTGAGATATGATGAGTTAGCCAGAGCCCTCGGAGTGGAAGCCAAACACGAGGACGAGTGGGAGGAAGACGCCATCCAAAGTTTTGATGTGAATGTCACGTTTCTGAAGTTTGGTCTTCCAAAGTCCTGAAGGACAAAGTTCAAGTCGGCCCTCAGAAAGGCATCCACACTCCAGCCCCAGTGGCGTGTCATGGATGCACTCCAGGCTCGTTCCCTCTACCCGGCTTACCACAACCCGAACAAGATAACCAAGAGAATCTTATTGGCTTGTTGTTACATGGCGGACCGGTCTAGCACTCTGCGCCTGGGTTCAGTCATGGCCACTTCTTTTGCCAGGGACAATGGGGGAA